CCTGGCGGGGAGGCAGGTGGCCAGCGTTAGGTCGGGCGGGTCCTCCTACAGGCTGATCTTGGGCGAGAACTTGAACTCCATCTGCATGCCTGAAACGGGTACGGAAAAAAGGGGTACAGTGCCCAGCGACAGATGCTGTCCCAAACTAGCAGCGGCCGCTGTTGGGCAGGCGGCCTTCTGTCTCCAATGTGCACGGGTCGCGGCGACACCGACAGCGAGTCCTGCTCAACACGAGCAGGAACTGCTGTTGGGCATTGTGCCCATTCTTTCCGTACCAATCTCGTTCGTGCTGAGTCCAAAAATTTGCCAAGAATGGTAACACACAGGAGGAACATCGTCCCCATACTGTTTTTTTACTACTGTTGAATCTTCCTCCTGTAGAGGGACACGCCCGACGTAAGGCCAGCATCGCGGCGCGGCGGGCGGTCGCCGCTGCCGCGCAGCGGCCAGGCCCTCCTTGCCAGGCAGCGGCGGCGGCCGGCAGGAGGGGCTGTGCGCCCCGCGCCCTGGCAGCCAGGCGCCTGTCGCGGCGCGCGGCATCGCGCGCCCGCAGCGCCCGCTGCCGGGTGCCCCCGGAAGCTTGTGGGCCTGCGGAGAATGAGCCTCGGGAGCCCCTGGCCTCGGGCCAACTGGCCCCACCCCCAGCTTGACCCAGAAAGGCTTGAACCCCAGATGGGGCAGAGAGAGAGAGAGAAATAAAAAAGAAAAAAAGAAAGAGAAAGCGAAAGAGAGAGATAGAGGAAGAGAGGGAGAAAGAGAGAGAGAGAGAGAGAGCAGAGCGAGGGCAGAAACAGAGAGAGGGAGCTCGCGCATCCCTGGGGACCGACAAAAAACTTAGCGCTCACAACAAAACGACAACACCCACCGGCTCGTCATTTTTCGGCGCTCCCTCCGCTCTCTGTTGGGCCTCCACTCCTCCGCCTGCTTTTCTGCTGCTGCTGCATCTTCGCCCCTTCCCTCCTCGATCCTCTCAGGCGAAGCCCTGGTCCGTCACCCCCCCCGCGCGCCAGAATGGGAACCCATGCGCAAGAGCGGCCCGAATCGTTCAAAGAGGGGGCAGGGCGTCCATCTTTGGCTCGGGGGTGGTGTCGCAGGAAGAGGTCGGGCGAAAGAAGGATCGCCTGGGCAGCGCTGCCAGGTGCACAGGGCATGTTCACATTCGTTGAGTCACCAGCGTGCCTTTCGATCCAGACAATTTTGCATGATGACGGCGCACGCTGTATCCGAGATTTACGGCAGGTGCTCGAGATCGGATGTGTAGCGAGCAGTGTTCGACAAAAGGAACCACGAGGAAGCGGATGTGGCCGAGGCCGGTAGTGCAGACTCCCCCCCTTTCCTGGAAGAGCACCGCAACTGTTCAGAATTCTGAATTCTTGCCCCACGTCCTGGCCCCCGATCTCAATGTTGCGAGAGCGGCGGCCGACGGCCAGAACTGTAGGATCGCGTGACGCCCCTGCGTGAACCTTGAGATCGAGGGGCGCAGGGAGACGGACTGCGCGCGAAAGTGGCACTACCTCTGCAGGGAAGTGGTCAGCGTGCCGCGCCGGGGCGTGGTGGGACAAAGCTGGCCCCTTCACGTTGCCCCTTCTTCCGGAAGGTCACTCGACTCTCCGGCGGCCGTTCGGGACGATCCAGGCAGCCTCGGAATGCTCCCGGCGAGGCGCATTCGCTGGAGCGCATCCCGAGGCCGGGAGAGCGGCGAGATCAGACGGAAACGTCTGAAAACCTGGCGTGGTACGCCAAACTTCCCGAGTACGACGCAACTCCCGACGGTAGTGCCCAAACATTCTGGGGATAGACCAGACAGCGCAAGTGCAATCTGGACCGATCATCCCAAGTGTGCGATCGGTCAGGCTCCTCCTCCACGCTCTTCTCGTGCTCCTTCGCGCCGCAGGGGGTACGCTGCAGGATATGAAAGCTCATATGCAGAGACAAGGCTGCTGCACAACCCGTGCAGTACACAGAGGGGCTGAACAGCACAACTGGGCAACGGCACCACAATGACACCATCTCGATAGCATCCGCCACCGTGCCACGAGGCACGAATTGGAGTGCCCTCGCGTCCCTTGTAGTCCTCGGCCCCAGGGATCGAATATCAAAGGGCCTGGACCCCCAAATTCAAAATTTCCTGGGGATCCAGGCGTGCCTCCCGCAGCTCCCGCATCCCGCACGAAGTGTTCGAAGCCACGAGCGCTCCAAAGCGGGCCAAGAAGGCCCCGAGAGGTCTCTGACCTAAAACCCAGGCGCGGTGGCTGGATGGGCCGAAGGCCACTAGATCCGCCGTCCCCTGTTGGCTTGCCAAAGGGGTGCACTGCGTGCCGAATGAATGTCTGGCAAATATTTGGCTCTTTTCAAAAGAACTTCCCGTGGGTGGAGCTTCGGCCCAGCCCGCCTGCTACCCGGAAAGCTCAGGAAAATCATCCCTTTTAGGCCAGATCGCCACCAAGACTCCCAAGATGGCCCAAGACGGCCTCCAAGATGCTTCAAATACGGGCAAGATGAATCCAAGAGAGATGAAAACAGTCCCAAGATGGCCTCCAAGACGAGTCCAAATGCCTCCACGACCGCCTAGATGGTACACGAGAGCCCAAGGCAGCCCAAGAAACGCCCAAGAGGCCCCTAGGATGGCCCAAGAGGCCTCCAACAGGTCCTCCAGGAAGGCTTGAAGAGGTCATAATCATGGATTTCCCTGAGATGTTTCAAAGATGTTGGCATTTGCTTCAAAACGGCCTTCCGACGGCCGAAGACAATCCAAGAGACTCCCAAGGTTGTCCCAAGATCGCCCACGACGTCTCTACGATGGCCCCAGGAAGGCCCAAGAGGCTCCCAAGACGGCCCCAAACTTGCCCCAAGACGGCCCAAGCGGCCTCCAAGACGCCCAAGAGGGCGTTCAAAACGACCCTGAAGCGCCCCAAGGAGGCCCCAAGACGGTCCAGAGAGGCTCCCAAGACGGCTTGGACGGCGTCAGACGGGCCAGGAATGCCGTAAGGCTGCCAAGGAGGCCTCCCAGAAGCCCCCAAAGGCCGCCAAGAGGTCTCCTCCAAAGACGCCCCCAAGAGGCCTCCAAGATGCCCCCAGGACGCTCCCAGGAGGCCCCAAGAATGATCCAAGAAGGGCCCAAGAGGTCTCCTCATCCTTCCCATCCTCCTCATTTGTCCTCCCTATCCTCATCCTTCTCTTCCTCCCCCACGTGTTTCCCGAATGGCTTCCACAACGGCTGGGGGGAAAGCATGATCCAATAGCGTGGCCAAACTTTCCCAAAACGTTTGGCCACATAGGTGTACCCCAAAATGCAAGGGGCGACGGTGATTCGCCGTACGCCTCTTCGATCCGCCGCCCGTTGGTGATTCAGCACAGGGGCGTACGGCTTGGTTCTTTTCTAGAGAACTCCCAATGGGGTCTAGGCCCCCCCCCAGCCGGCCACCCAGAAAGCCGCCGAAAGCCTGGGATATAGCCAGACCGTACGCTTTTCCTTCCAAGACGGTTCCAAGATGGCCTCCAAGCCGGCTACGATGGCCTCCAAGACGACCAAGAAGGCCCGAACAGAGCAGATGGCTGCAAGATGTCTCCAAGACAGCTCACGACGCACGCAAGATGGCCTAAGATGGCACCAAAATGGCCCAAGAAGGCCCAAGAAGCGCCCAGGAGGCCTCCAAGAAGGCCCAAGAGGCCTCCAAGAGGTCCAAGGTATGTGCTTCTGTTCGGCCTTCCGACGGCCCAAGACGGTATCGCCCAAGAGGCCTCCAAGATGCCCTCCATGACGGCCCGATCGGCCCCGAAGACAGCCCCAAGACGGCCCCAAGAAGCATCCAAGACAACCGAGATGGCCTCCAAGACGGCCCTGAAGCGCCCCAAGAGGGCCCGAATTCCGCTCAGAGAGGCCCCCCAGGATGGCTTCCGAGGGCGTCAGACGGGCAAAGAACGCTCTCAGACGGCCAAAGAGACCGCCGATACGCCTCCAACAACCCCCAGGAGGCCCCAGGTCGCCCCCAAGAGGCCCCCAGGAAGCTCCCAAGAGGCCCCAAGAGTGCCCCAGGAGGCCCCCAAGAGGCTTCCCCCTCCTCTTAAGTAGTCCTCCCTCTCTTCCTCTTCCACTTGCTCTTTGAAGTGGTTCCCCAAGCGTTTCCACAACGGCTCGGGGAACACATGGTCATATAGCTTGTCCAAGCTCTGGGCATAAAGCTCGGCCACATCGGCACGTTATGAGTGAGGATGCGAGCATCAACAGCACCAGCGTTTCTGGAAACCACGGGAGACCAGTGCCAAGCAACCACTAATTAATCAATGTATACTAGAATTGACGGGTGCCCAAGCCATGGAGGCCCATGTGAAATGACGCCACATGGTGACCATGGTGTGCACTCCGCATGTGCGCTATTGTCTCTCGGAACCGGCTGAATAAATTGCAAAAGCGCTTGTACATATCCTTGGTACTTGCCAGTATGCACCTGAAAGTTGGTGATGCGAGGATGCATTCGCAACTCACTCCTTGCAAGACACTGCCCTGCCCACTTGCAACCACATGGCTTCACACATCAAGAGTGTGCGAGTCGCCACAAAGACTCAGCTTGCAAAAACACCTGTCAGAGTCAGTCCAGAACTTGGCATGGCATCTCAGAGTCCATAGTCCGAGATTTAAAGACTGCACGCGTGTGGTGTCAACATCTGCGTCGGGTTCTCGCATTTGAAACGCCGAACTTCCAACTATCCCATGTGTGGTGTCTGAAGCCTGGAAGTTAGCGAATCGGTTCGAGTCCATGCCGTCATGCGCATACAGGCGATTGTATACCAGGGCCCCCTGACTTGAAACCTGTATTGTATTTGTAAAGCTGGCTCGCACGTAGATCCTGGCGCAAAGTTCTGGGGTCGAGGAGGCAAGAGACAATGCCCGTAGCATGCCGGCGTGTACGCGACCACCGACGAATGAAGCCTGTGCTGTTTGACACGAGGGGGCTCCACCTTTCCGCTCCCCTCGCCTCTGGGAGCGGGCGGGCCGCGGGTCACAGAGCCACCAGCACGTAGGCCCACGCGAGGCCGCTGCTGCCCAGCGGCCGACTCGCCTCGACCGCGAAGCGGCCGCCCGCTCCACCGGGGGCCGCCGCCGCGACCCTGGCCAGGGCGGCAGCGAGCTGGCCGGGGTTCTGCTTCGTGACCACCACGTAGAGGCCCCGCTGCGGGGGGGGCACCAGCGCCCCGTGCACCCTGCCCAGGAGGGGCTTCGCACGTGACCACGGACCCCTGGCTGCCCATCGGCCCTGGGCGGTCTTCGGCCGTCTTCTGGCGGTCGTCGGCGGTCTCTGGCGAGATCGCTGGGTTGTTGCGGTTGGCAGAGAGCCCATTGATCCAACACCGAAAAAAAAAACGAGCTGCGAACTCCACCGAGCCGGTCGCACGCCCCGTCAGAACCCAGCACTTGGCGAGCATGGAACCACCGCCCGACCTGGAGAGCCAGAGTCCACCACGACATGGGAGCATGGCCCATCCCGGGGCCACTGAACCCCAAAGCAATTGTCATCCTCTCTTCATCTCTTCCGCCCGCAGAACCGCCCTCGCTCGCCTGCTGGCCTTCCGCCCGGGGATGATGATAACTTCTCGATCTCTCGAGGGCGAGGCATCTTCTGGAGCGCCCCACACACTTTCGGACCTCCTCCGGCGTGATATCTTTCTACAACGTGGCTCCCCAGCAAACTGGACCCCTTCACTGGGACCTGCTTTTCATTCTGAGTCGGTTGTTGACGGTCCCGTGGCCTGGAGAGGGCTCCCAGATGCCAAACAATTTGAGAAACCTCAGTCAGGATGTTTCAATACGTTGGAAGTCTGGGAGCGCCGCACACTAAGCCAATGAAAGCTTCGTGGCAGTGGTGCTGCATGTCTCCCCCCTCCCGGCCTGTCCAGCAGCACCGGCAGGCCGGCCGGAGCCTCCTCCTGCAGCCAGTCCCAGATCCCTGCCTCGCAACGGCGTGCAAAGAGGGACGGGGCGACACAATCATCGTGCCACCTATTAGAAGGAGCGCCAATGGTTACCAAAACGCAGATTATTGAGAAGGACTCGTGAGGGCTGATCTGCCAACGTGGCCGAAACCTGGGCCGTGTTTTTCGCTTGCTTTTTACTTTAGAGGCTTGATTCAGAAGGCTTCCTGAAAAGAGCAGGCAGGCTTTCGCGAGTGGGGCGGGGCCTGCGTCTCAGCAGGCCACCCCCCACTCCAGCCCCAGAGCCCGATGCTCAATGACCCTCGCTGCAGTGGGCGCATGCGATAACGCATCCTGGTATCAGACATCTAGGCACGCATGCTTCGTCGACTCTGAACTAGGTACCCCAGGGCTCCGCGGGCCTATCGGGGGGCAATAACTACTCGTAAGGCGTGCGTTGACAACCCAACCTCTCATTTGACGCGCATGCTGTGCAAATCGCGTCCCGCGGGGCACCCGAACTCTCGACCCCAACACTCATGCAAACCTCACGCCGCACGCCGCTCTAGATGGCCCCAAGCCCAGAGAAAACCTCCATGGACCCCCAAAAGCTTGAATTACCCAACCGTCTCGAGCCTTGGCAAGCCCGATGTACGGACAGAAAGGCTGGGGCCGATCCCAAACAACAGATGTTGCCCGGAAGCGGCCGCTGCTGGGCAGGCGATTGTGCACACATGCGATCAGATGTGCATGCCACTTGGTGCAAGCTATGTGCTGTCAGCTATGTGTTGAGGCAGCAACACGCGGCAACGTGGGGAAACATGGGGAAACCTCGGCGGACCCCCCAAGCGTGGAGGGCGGCAACGAGGCGGCAACGGACAGCAACGTGGCGAAACCTCGGCGGACCCCCCGGATACCGTAAGCAATAACAAGCAATCAGCTGGCAGCAGCGTGGCGAACCTCGGCGGACCCCCCGAGCGGGGCGACATTGAGACTGCCACGGGTGGCAAGGTGGCGAAACCTCGGCGGACCTCCCAAGTGGGCGCCAACGAGGCGGCCACGGGCGGCGGCGCGGCAAGAAACTCGGCGCACCCGCCGAGTAGGGCGGCAGCGAAGCGGTCACGAGGCGGCCACGGGCGTCGACGCTGCGAAACCTCGGCGGACCCCCCAAGTGGGCAACGAAGCGGCCACGAGGCGGCTACGGGCGGCGACGCAGCAACACCTCCGAGGACCCCGCAAGATGTACGATAACGGGGCGGCCAACGCGGGGAGTGGACCCCCAAAGGTGGGCGGCAACGTGGCGGCCGCGAGGCCTTGAGGCGGCGACGCGGCGAAACCTCGGCGGGCCCCAAAGTGGCCGGCAACGAGTCGGAGGGCGGCAGCGGGGGACGCGGCGCGGAACCCCCAGATGGGTGGCAACGAGGCGGCCTTGAGGCGACAACGGGCAGGTTACGCGGCGAAACCTCGGCGGACCACCCGAGTGGGCGGCAACGATGCGGCCTTGAGGCGGCGGCGCGGCGAAACCTCGGCGGGCCCCCCACGTGGCCAGCAACGAAGCGGCCACGAGGCGGCCACAGGCGGCGACGCATCGAAATCCTGACGGACCCATCCAAAGAAGTGGGCGGCAACGGGCGACGACGCGGCGAAACCTCGGCGGACCCCCCAAGTGGGCGGCATCGAGGCAGCCACGAGGCGGCAACGGGCGGCGACGCGGCGAAACCTCGGCGGACCCCCCAAGTGGGCGGCAACGAGGCGGCCACGGCCAGCGACGCGGCGAAACCTCGGCGGACACGAGCGGCAACGGGGGGCGCGGGCCCCCCCCCACGTGGGCGGCAACGCGGCGGCCACGAGGCGGCCACGGGTTGCGCTGCGGCGGAACCTCGGCTGCCCCATCCCATTTCTTAGCGGCAGAAGCAAGAGCCCCTAAGTGCAAGCACTGCTCGGGGAACCTGGGGACACGTGCGTCAGCGATCTCTGAGCCTCCCCAGGTGCTCCGAAGCTCCTGCGGGTCCTCAGGGCCATCGGGGGATAAGAACGTTCTGTGTGGCACCTGCTGGCAGCCTGTTTTTTATATGATGCGCCTCATGGAACGAATGGGGACGACCCCAACAAGCAACTGCTGTGCAAACTCGAGAGCGCCTGCTGCTGGGCAGGCGGCTGCAGCCCCAACTGGGCAACACCCGCGGATTCAACGTGGGCAGGAAGTGGTGTCGGTGTTTGCACTGTCTTTTCGAACCAATTTCGGTCCTCCCGAGAACCGGGCACTCCAAAGATCATGCATGCGACATGGCGAGGAGGCAGTGGACCATGCAAGGTCAGCCTGGAAGCCCTGTCCTGTCAGTTGCCATGGCTCGTCATACTAGTCTAGCCGATGCGTTCACGCCAGCTTTTTGGAAGGCGCAAGCGAAAAGCTCTCGACTATGAGGCCCGAGATTAGGTCGGGCGTGTCCCCCTACAGGCGGAATGTGGATGAAACTTCAAAATTAAATATACTCAAACATATGCAAACAATGCTAACAAATATAAAACAATCGTCCCCAGGCTATGTTTTGACTATTTTGGAATATTCCTCCTGTAGAGGGACACCCCCGACTTAAGCCCGAGAGGAGGCAGGCACGGACCAGAGAGAGAGAGAGAGAGACCAGCGCTCTGAGGATGCTACCAGGCACGCACTGGCTCACATGCGCTGCATGAACAGAGCCCCCCATGCCCCCCCCCCGGGAGCGCCCTCGCCAGGCACAGCTGCTGGAGCGCGCCGCCGAGGCCAGAAAACCGCCGAGATCCTTCGAGCACGCCCGAAACCCTCGGACCTCGACTCCGAGAAAGTAAGTAGCTTTTCCCAGAGCCCACGGTCGGGGACTTGTGCTCAGCGTGTCGCGGCGGCGGCTCCGGCTACACGTGCTGCCCTGCAAGCGGACAGCGTCTCGCTCCGCTCCGTGGAGCGGGGGTGGGGAAAGGCTCGGGAGGTCGACGCCTGGAGACTGGGACGTGGCTCGCGCGCCGCGCCGAAGCATGGTAGGCCAAGATCGGCGGCGCGACTCGCCAATCAAGCGTTCCTGACCTACGTAGGCTGCGCGCCCGGGGGGGGAGGGAGAAGAGGCAAACCTTCTCAGAAGGCTCGGAAATCCAACGGCCTTCTGAGAAGATTTCTAAGCCTTCGCCGGAAAGCCTGTCAGAAGGCGCAAGGGCTTCTGAGAAGTCCCGCCGCCTTCTGAGAAGGCCTTCTCCTTCTCACTTCCCCCCCGCACGCCGCCCAGTATCTGGCACTCTGAACCGCACGCGCTACATGAACAGAGCCCTAAGCGCCCTCCCCCCCCCCTCGGACCCGCCCCCCGGGAGCCTTATCCACCACCAGCCAGTAGCCCCCCGCTGGCGGGGGCGCTCCGCCGCCCGCCGCGGGGGCGGCCATGAAATCGCGCCGCTCGAAGCGGACGCCGGGCCAGTCCGCCGCGGGGTAGCGCTCCCGCATCGCCTCGACCACCTTTCTCTCATAGGGGGGGCAACTTCTGGAAGGTTTTGAGACGAAGCCAGGGCGAGGACCAATTCGGGTGAGGATAAATCGAGAGTCTCTGAGATCTGGCGGCTCTGGAGGATGTTTCGGGCGCCGTGGCGTTCCCAGAACGTTCCAGAACGTGCCAGAACGCTTTGAGAGCGTTCCGGAACGCTCTGGAACGCATTGATCTTCTTCCTGGCGCCGTCCGATGTTTTTGCCATCGTAAGCCTGATTGGGGGTCACTTTAGCCTTTAGCCGGATGAAGCCAGATGAAGCGGGACTCGGCGGGATGATGCTGGACCAGGCCGGCTTGCGACCACGGATATGCCAGCACCTGTGCTAAATTTCACCCACCAGAAATTACATACTAACTCCTTGTTTGTCAACGACCACAAGGACAACCGCGTGAGGAATGATGCGACTGGCGAGGTCGAAACAAGAGGGGAGTCGGTAAGCACTCCTACCGCTGGGCCGCTCTCGCCCAGGCGAAGACGCTGGCAAGGATGAAGACGACCGAGGACCTGCGGTGCAATGTCGATGTGCGTCGCGTCCCGGAAGCCAGCCTGGTGCAGCAGCGCGGGCAGCGGCGAGTCGCCGCAGCCTGCGGGGCCCAGCGCCCCCTTCGCGTCGTGGACAGTCATACGGCGGACGGTTTTAGAGCAGTGCTTGCCCTCTGGGGGCCTCGCGCGGCCCCGCGACCGTCCACGACGACTCGGGGTGGGAAGCGGGTCCCCAGGAAGGGGGTCAGGTTAGGGAGACGGGGGAGGATGAGCGAGCGAGCGAGCGAGCAGCCGAGAGGCGGTTAGGAGACGGACGGGCTCGCCAGCCCCCCAAACCTGGAGCACAAACTCCGAAAAGGCGGGGCCCGAAGCCGTCCGCATCGGTGGAATCGGTCCTCCAGGCGGGGCGCCTGTGAGCCCCGTGCCGCCTCGGCGGCGGGCCGCGGCAGGGAGCACGGAGCCTGCGCCAGGCCCGTGCTAGGCCCTTTAATGAAGCCCCCGAGGGATCTGATGGCGCAGACGCTGCAACCGACGCACAAGTCTCCCCGGAGCTCCATCACGTCAGCGAGAGACAGGGCCGCGTAGCAGCACCCGGCGCGACTGGTGTCCAGCAACTCTGAGCCGAGTTGCAGACCAACGATGCAAGTCTGGGTGGCCTCGACACACAAGAACCCCAAGGCGAGACACACACCTGCCGCGACAAGAACCTGGCGTGCTCACACACTGGAGCACCAACCACAGAACCACAGAACCCACCAACGGGTCAGCCCACTTTTGGGTTTGACGCAACTTCCTTCTCATGGCGATCGGCGGGCATCGGGGCGGCCGAAGCTTCGCTTCCTTCTTGGGTTTTTTCTCGTGATTCTCCATCGTGGCCTTGTTCGCCCAGGGCATATTTGAGCCAGACCCCCGTGCGCCTTCGACGACGACGAAGGGGGCAGCGGAGGAGCAATAAGAGAAGGATGAGGAGGACCAGGCTGAGGAGGACGCGGGCGAGGAGCGGCGGCAGCTGGAGGAGGAGGGGGACGACGAGGGAGGGGCAGGAGGAGGAAAAGGAGGAGGAGGAGGAGGACGGTCGCGCCCCGCCGCGGGCCGTCCTCAATCGCGTACAAAAAGAAACGTGTGCGCCCACAGGCCAAGGATCAAACTCAGCTTCTTAAAGGCTACCGCCTGCTCTAACACTTCATCATCGTCGCCAGCATCTGGGAAAACGTTGCCATTGAAACCGTCCTGTTCGTGGAAACGCGCCCCGAAGTTGGTCCAGCGGCAACTCGCGCAGCCTAGCGCATCTCTTCAGCGCCAACGAATGCAGCTCAGGAAGGAGATGAGGCTTGGATCCTTCCTTGGCTTGCTCGTCCACCTGCTCGGTGCCCTCCTTCTCGAGACTGCTCCATCCCCTTCTCTCGCGTCGTTCACCGTCGAAAACATTTGAAATACTCTACCGACCCGACCTCCTCCCATTTGAGAGCCCGCTGGCAATGCAGGCCCTTCGCTCTGTCCAAGCGTCTGCAACAGCCGCCGGAAAAGCGAGCTCACGTTATTTGCGCCAGCCCTGGCGCCTGGTAGACTGCGAAGTTCTCTCCGCCCGTGGACACCTGCTGCGGCCCAGTATCCTTGGGCGCAGGGCCTCTGAATCTCGCAATCCTGCCAAAGTCTGCGCTGCGCAGTATGATTGACCACCCGGCCACGTGCAGCTCAAGATATGGAGGTGGGCACCCGCTGCCATCAACAATCACGAATGCTCCAGCCGCATGGACAACTCCTGCGCCATCGACATCGACGTTGTCGCGAGCATTATCCTTCTTTGAATTGAAAAAAGGTCTAGCCTGGATCGGACGATGACCCTCTGGCGAACTTTTCCTGATGCGCTGACGCGCTGGCTCTTGCTCTCCCCACTGGTTGCCCGAGCTCAGGCGGCATGAGAACCCGCCGCTGGCCCGCGCAAGCGTCGCAACAGAAGAAGCGAAATAACCGCTGGAAGCGCGCGCCTGGAGCAACGATGCACCGAGCACATCGATGGCTCTGGTCGGGGAACGCCCTGGAAACTCTCACTTGTCACCAAAAACCCCCAATAATGATTCCGCTGTGGGCCATCTACGGGCGAGGTGGCAGCTTCCCCCGCGTCGGACACGCGCGCTCGAGGCCGAGCGAGGGAGCCCGCTCGAGCTGGCACTCCTGGGTCATGTAGGCCTAGGAGGGCCCCTGTCGAAATGGCGCTCGGCCTTCATTTTTCGGGCTGGCCTCCGAGACAGAGAACTTGGCAGGGCAGGCCTCCAAATCCACGGATCCCCCCTCGTCGCCCCGAACCCAGGTCGCGCTCTCGAGAACCCACCCTTTTCCATGAAACGTGGCGAGGAGGGCCGCAGTGGGGTTTCGGGCATTATTCCACGTGTGTCCATCACTGGCGAGTGGCCCCGCTGTATGATAATATCGTTAGCGAGATTCCGAGAGATCGCGCCCGCGCCCGTCGCCGTCGCGCGCGTGCTCAGGGGGCCAGCCTGCCTGCGTCGAGGCGAAACATGCGCAATTGCAGAGCGCGACCTTTCGGCGCGCCGGCGATGCTGCGGCCCCGCTAGCTTTCCGACAATGCTCCAACTCTGTGAACTGCTGAACTCCAAACCTCTAGACCGCGGAACACGGCGATGCAAATCATTTCCTCGCGGCCTTTTTGGCCCTCGCGAGTTGCGTGGATGCCCCCCCGAAGCCCCCGCCCACGGCGTCGCCGCCCCAGCCCCCGCGGCGCGCACGGCGCCCAGGGTTACTGTCGGGGAGGGGGCCATATTCCTCGTGCATCCGCCGCCATATCTTCGGCAACTTCCTTGTTCGCACGAGGCGCGCGAAAGCTCCTCGCGGCTGGTCGCGCCGTGGAATTCGCGGGGGCCTGCGAAGCGCCGGCGCCGACGAAATACCCCCGGGCCGCGCTGGAGAGCGCGCCGCGGACCCGCGTCGTCATGTCGCGCTAGGTCTCCGGCGCGGCGCCCCAAGGGAAATCGTCTGCCAGGGCGGCCCCCCTACGCGCAATCTCTTCGCGCCCCTCGGCCTCGACCATGTCCGGCAAACGTTGGAAGCAATCCAGTGGGTGCGACCCCGCCGCGGGGCTTCGGTTAAAACGCTACGAGCGGCGCCCGGATTTCCGAAGGTTCTGGGCTGCCCCCCCGCCTGCGCAGAATACACGTGAGCGACGCGAGCATCGGGCTCGACCACGATTTGGACCGTCGCGGGCGGCGGGCCCCATCCTGGCGCAGTTTTACTCTCGAGCGTGTCCAGCGCGGCTCGAACTCCGTCCTCTTCCAGAAGTGGCAGCGGCGGAGGCTCGGGCGCATTCCGCGCGAATGGGAAGAGCCCGTCGCCGCGGGGGCGGCCCGCAGATCCACCCGCATGCCCGCCGAGACCTCGCGGCCGGCGGCAAGCGGCCACTGTTTCAAATCGGGGGCGCTGGCCCCGTCGAGGTCCATCGGGCCGCCGGCGCGCCGGGGCAGCCCCGATCTGAACGGCGAGCTTGAAGACTGCATCCCAGCTGTGTCCAGCGGCGACCGCGTCTGCTGCCGAGCGCGACAGCGCCGTATTCCGCGCCGACTGACAGGCGCGAACGTCGGGAATCTGTTCCCCGAGGGCCCCTAGAACTCCGAGCTAGCGCCGGCCTTTAAACGCGCGACGCCCCCCGGGGGGCCCCCCGTCGCCGCCGGCCGCCGACCCCCGCGCCCCCCGCGGCCCCCCATTCATTGTAGCCGCACGGCTGCGCGGCGCCTGCTGGGCAGAGCTGGCGGAGTCCGACGCGCTGCGCCAATGCGCATTGAAACGCCGCGCAGATGGCCTAACATGCGCTCGAGGGCCGGCCTCCCTTCGAGGCTTTTCTCCCGCTCGCAGACCAAGTGCTTTTTCTTCCAGCGACAGCCAGCTTCGCGACGAGAGAACTCATCTCTGTCACTCTGAGGAACGGCCTGAAAATGCGAAGGCAGTTCTCGGCAACTTCGAACTACTGTCGCCAGACTGCCCACAGACCCCCCTTGGGTCGGATCGGAACCTGGCCGGGCAGAACACCCCCCGGGGACAGAAGGCGGCCCGTGGATCGGCATTGGAAGACGTCTTGCGTGACCCTCTCCTGCCCCCGAAATCCCCCACGCGAATAGCCGCGGCGCGGCGGGCCCCCGCGGGCGCGCCCACGAAGCTGTTATGCCGCGCGCAAGCGGAAACGGTGCGTGACTGGCGGCGGAAATTCACACTAGGACTCGTTGCGCGTGGCTATGCTGGCACGCGCCGCCTCGGCATGCAGCTAGTTGAGAAACCGCGCCCGGAGGAATCACTCTCTGCCGGAACAGCTGGCTGGCTTCGGCACTCCAGCCGCGTGCTCCGACACAGGGCATGCGCGAAGTTCTGTAGACCAGCAGGAGCAACACGAAAACCTCCTGGCTTCCCAAGGCGCCCACGCTGCAAATCGCATAAAGCGTCATGAGCAAAACCAATTCGTTTCTGGGCATGGCCCTCTGAGAACTCATCCTGGCATGGGGGTGGTCGGATCTCATGCTGTATTCATCAGCGCGTGCAGCGTTGGAGACGGTGTAGATGCCTACGCCGCTGGAAGAGGCCGTCGCCCCCGCCCCTGTGACGTGGTAGCCGCTGCCGAGAAATTCGCATCCTCGCTGGCGGGTCCAGGATTGGGCCGGTTTAAATCGATCTCCAGGTCTCAGCCTGTGCTCCTGGACAACAGCCGCATCCGCCTGGACTCCCTTATCCAAGACCAGCCACTCGAGATAGCCCTGGGGCGTAGACCAAGCTTTTACGTCGTAGGCAACGAGCGTCAAGGAGGTCGTCTTCTCCAAGCTCGAGGGTACCTGCGCATCTACAACCCAACTCGAACTCTTGATTAGGTCGTGGTCTGTCTGCGCGCCAAACCAGCCGATGCCGCTGGCATCCTCCTAGCACACGCGGATGGCGGCGCGCAGGCGGACGCCGAATCTGCTTCAAAGTTCCCTGCGCACCACTTCGACCGCTCCAACTCTGAATGATCAGGGAAAGGGTGGCCGCCGTAACTGTGGTGGAACCTCATGCCTCGCACGACGTTGTCGACGCCCCCTTGCTTCGCTCCGAGACCTGCAGCGATGAGGCAATCAATGCTTCGGATTGTGCAGCCTTTTGGGTCTGGGCCCAGCAGCTGCGCGCTCCGTGGTTTTCGTCTGGAGATTTTCCTCCGCAGCCTTTCCGCTCACGAAGCCCTCAACGTCCTTGAGGCTCCAGGGGGTCCGTCTTGCGTTCCTGCGGGCGGGGTGGCTGGGATGGCGCTGGGTCATGATTCGCCTCTTTTTCCACTGGCCTCATTTCATTGCCTGGGTCTTGAGAACTGCGGCGAGAAAGGGAGCAAGCGCTTTGGCAGCAACATCTCCTTCAATATTGTCGAGACACGTCGTTGCAAGGTTGCCTTCGTCAGGCTCCAGGTCATCTGTGGATTCCACCACTTGAACGGGGGGCTTCGGGCCGCATCGAAGAGAGGCTCCATAGCTTGTCCCTGCTGCTTTGATACTAGCGCTTGAGAAACCAAGTGTAACGTGTCCTTCGTTATTTCACGATTATCATTTTTTCTGCTGCCGTTTTGTCGAGCACCGCCTCTTCCTTCGGCTAACGGGCCTGCTCCACTCTGCGTGAATGTGCCGTGGGCTTCGCTGGAAGGGGCTTGTTCTCATATAGACTATGGCGAGCTGCTTCCGACTGGACACGCGCGGCAACCAGTGGAGATGTACCCCTGGAGGGCCTTGATACTCCATGCCTCGGCAGCATCGTTTCCTTCTTTGTTCCCTCCTCCCTGAGGAACCTTGGACGCAGCACTCTCGGCCTCAAATTGCAATAGCTTGCGCTCGAGCTTGGCAAACGACGTGCTGTTGCCGAGGTCGCCTTGGGTGCGCTTCCTGCTCGGGCTGTCGGGGGGGTCTTTCGTGAGCCGGATTCTCTGCAAACATAGCACGCGTACGCGTGACACGTGAGGCAACGCTCGTGGGTACCCATTCATGAGAAGAGCACCAGTACGACGAAACTTGCAAACTTCTAGCAACACACATCAAATCCACTTTCGCTGCGCCATCCTTCGCCCACGGACCTGAGGCCATGCGGATGTCGTGCGAAACGGGGTGGGCTGCCAGAGCGCCCTTAGCGTGCTGAAAACTGTCGGGCGTAAGCGCTCTGGCACCGCCTCGGACTGGAATGAGCCACTTTTTTCCGGGGGGGACATGCATCTTGAACCAACATGGCTACGGAACGTGGGGAGGATGAGGAGGACGAGGAAGAAGAGGAGCTAAGGGATTCGCTTCTACTTCTCGGGCCACACTTGCGCGCTGCGTGCTGCAGTTATGCACTACCCACGTCAGCTGCCAATGAATTGCGCCCTACCAGTGGCAGTGATGGCGTACTTGCCACCCCCCATCGAACTATGATTAATCCGATACGTAGAGCGGGCCCTTAAGAGGACAGCTTCGGAAACCCTGGGTTCCCAAGCGCTGGCCTCTCTTGGAGAATGTGCGGGCTTCAGCCAACTTGTGCTGCCCCAGTTAGGTCTGCTTGCGCCCGCCTCCTTCCTTCCTTCACAACGCTGCGCCCCACTAACTTCAGGACGGACGCTTCGTGAGGGGCCTGGGCAAACGTCAACCGAAAATAGACGCACCACGTGGCCATTCACATCGAGAGCGGTGGCCCTCGGAGGCTACGCAATTTGGATGGCTGAGCTGGATCATGCAGGCGTCTCCGCCCACTTCCGCCGAGCTCCGCCAGCGGAGCCTTCCGCCCGCATCGCTGGCCGAGGGCGGGATGTCAAGCGCTCGAGCCCTCGAAGGCAAGGCCACAGCGCCCCCGAGGTGGGAAGGCTACGGGCGGCGCGCAGGCGGCGCCCCCAAGCAGTCCTTGAGCCTTGCCATACGAATAAATGAAGAAGAACAGGAGCAGCAGCGGGAGAAGCAGCCGCAGCACTGCAGGAGCGCTCACCACAGCCTATTTGGAGCACCGGGCCGCTCTTGGCCGGGTCCAGGTGGGGCAGCACCACCGCCCGCACCAGCTCCGCGCTGGCATTGAACCAGTCCTGTGGGGAAGGGGTGGGGCGGGGATGGACGCGGAGGGTGAGCAAAGGCCCAGACTCAAATCCCCTCGCGTCGTGAACAACATTTCGGCGGAATGTTGGTGATTTTCGGCCTCTCCGGGTCCTCGCCTGGCCCCAGGACCGTCAGAAAACGACTCGGGATGCAACCCTGGTCCCTGGGGAGGGGGGCCGACCTAAGTCGAAGGTCTGGGACCTCCAGCACCACGGAAAAGTCGCGGCGACCAGATGTGCAACGGTTTCGGTCTCTAAAGCCCGTCTCGAGCCCTGGCCATCAACGAAAACGGCACCCACGACGAAACATGTATTCCATTGGGATCGAGTCGGGGGCCCTGGGGGCCCACGTCACGAGCAAGACGTGACGTCAGATGTCTTAGGTGGGAGGGATGAAGGGGGGAGAGGGGGGCAGAAGAGGGGAGGAGGGGGGAGGACTGACAATCAGGGAGGTGGAGGGGAAAGGATACCTGAGTGGGAGCAGAAAGGCCCCGGTCAGACCAGGCGGGGCTTGCTCGAGGACGTGGCTTTTGTAGCGACCCAGCCTGGCTCGCTGAATTCATGGAGGGGATGTTACAACCCAGCTTGCCGGACACAGGACATGCCGACGGGACGGGCGAAGTGTGGGAGCCACGAATCAGACGAGGGTAGATCGGGCGCGCGCTGACATGGATTACGGATCCGTGGACCTGGCGCATGGGCGCGGGGGACACACACGAGAGAAGGGATCTGTCGACCCCCGTCCCCGACTTCGTGGGGGCCCTCGAACGGACCAAACATGTGGGACCAGACCCGGGGATAGCCGATGGGGGGCGCCAATTCTCGACGCGGGTGTGCCCGAACAGCACCCTGGGGGTGTATTCCCGAGTGCCCCCCCACCCCCTCTCTCTAGACAAGCGCGCCCCACTACTCGCACAAAGTAACTGCTCGCACATGGCCTGGATCCGCCATGGGGGATTTGCGATACATTACATCGACGCAGGCATGTGTTTTTGTGTTCGGACGTTTACGAATCAGCACTTTGCGAGTAGTGCAGCGCGCCCCGTGACCCTCAGCGGCCTCGCTTCTCGGGCGGACCTCGGCGATCGGGGGCGGTACGTCGCCCGCGAGTGCAGAGGGCGAGGGAGGGGGAGGGGGGAGAGCACGGGAGCCCCGCGCCCGCCCCCCCCCCGTCTCGAGGCTCCGTGTCCGCGCTGCGGTTGCCCCACTCCCACTCCATGCCCTCCGGGGGCGGCTGCAGCCTCGGCCGGCCGTCCTCGGGCGGCGGCGGCGCGCGAGAGGAGCGCGGCGAGGGTGGGGGCCTCCCAGAGGGGGTCGTAGCAGATGGGGGCGAAGGATCGCGCCGCATCGCCAATGCATCGCCGATGTATCGGCGATGCATCGGCGATGCACTGGCGATGCATCGTCGACTTGGGCGATGCATCGGCGAATCGGGCTCCACATCGCGCCGCATCGCCGCGATGCATCGGCGATGCGGCGCGATCCTCCGAGCCCATCTACTCCGACCCCATCTAGGAGGCCTAATCCGAGAGGGGGGGAGCTTTCCCGAGGAGCCTCCCAGGCTTCTCGGAAGCCCTCCTGCATTCCAATTCCTCCTCGCGACGTGAACACATCACGAGGTGGTGTTCTTGCCATTCCTGGGCCCTGAGTGTCCTCGCCAGGCCCCGGGAACGGTCAAGCAACGACTCAGGACGGAAAGCCTGTCCCCAGCAAGGGCCCCAGACCTTTGGTGGAGGTCCACGGCATGAGAAATTGCGACGGCGGGGATCCTGGTTTGAAGAAGCCGCCCCCTTGCCGTCGCTCGGACGTCCATTTCCCGTGCATGTTTCGGTTTCGTGCGTGTTTTTTTTGCTCGATGGTCCAGGATGGTCCTCGATGGTTCTCGCCGAGAACACGTGCACACGTCCGAGCGATGCCAAGCCCCTTGAAGTCCCACGTTAGAAGCCCTTCTCTGGGGCGCACGTCGGCATGGACCTCAGATCCCTGGATCTGGCGCGTGGGCGCCAGACCCACGGATCGGGGAAAGGCCCGCCCCGCTTCGAAATGCAGTGCCGACGCCGCGTGGTTTGGGGAAGGAGCGCGCCGGCCGTGCATGGAGGCGGGGCCCGCCGCGAACCCACGCGCCGTGATCCATGGCTGCGCTCTTTCGATCCTTGCAGCAAGCCCCAACTTCTCAGAACTCCCCCTGCGTACTCTCTCTCTCTTGGGCGCGCGCTAATACGAATCGCGGATCCACGGATCTGGCGCGTGGGCGTCGGATCCACGCATCGGAGAGAGCACCCCGCCCGAAGCACGGCGCCCGGCGCCGCCTGAGTCGGCGGCCGAGCGCCTCAATGCTGTATGGCAGCGGGGCCCGCCGTTGACCCACGCGCCTCGACCCATGCCTGCGCGTTCTCGATTCGTGTAGAGCCCCTTGGCGGCTGGGAACCCCTCCTACCCTTCAAGAAGCCACCTTGTAGGCCAATCCTAAAAGACCCCCTAAGAATTATTACCTTCTTGTAGAAGGCCTCCCATCTGATCCGCCCCTTCGAAGCGCCGCCGTCCGCGCCGATGTCGCGGAGCTCCCCCAGCCGCCACCGCCAGAAATCTCCCCACCAGTCGTCCGAGCACTGCCTGCAGCCCTGCCGCCAGGGCTCCGTGGCGGGCACCACGCGGCGGAACCAGAAGTGGGCCGTCATGAGAAGGCACCTCGGGAGGCCCCCTCCGCATCCCCGTATCCCCTCTCCTCCGCCCCATCCTCCCCGTCGTCCCTCTCCCCCTCCTTCTCATCTTCCCTCTCCTCCCCGCCACTGCTCCTTGTCCCCCTGGCCCGCCTCATTAAGAATATGCTCTTTCTCCCTCCTCCTCCTCCTCCTCCTCCTCCTCCTCCTCCTCCTCCTCCTTCTCATCCACCCTCTGACCCCTCCTGGTCTGGCCTCTGTTCTTTCTTCTCCTTCTCCTTCTCCTCCCCTATCTCCACCTGCTCCTCCCCCTCCTTCTCCCCATCGGCGTCCTCCTCCTTCCTCTCCTTCCTCGGTAGCCGTTGGCCGAGAGGCCGAACGGGAGCCCTTCGTGCTCGAGCGACGACCCAGGAAGGCATGAGAGTCGGCCGGGGTGGGGGGCGCTCGACCTGGATGGGGAACAGTTGGAAGGGACGCGGGCGTCCCGCCGTCGTCGTTCCCTCACCCTCCCCTCCCTCCTGGGGCCGCAGGTACGTACGTATACCGCCTCCTTAGGGACGAGGGCGTCCAGCCGTGGTCGTTCCCTCTCCCTCCCCTCCCTCCTGGGGCCGCAGGCACGTACGTATACCGCCCCTGTGGGGGAAGGGATGGCTGCGCTCGGACGAGCACTAAACCGAACAGCTACAGCTACGTCAGGAGGGGGCGGAAGACGAGCACTACGATCAGGGCGAGGGCGTCGCTGGAATTTTGCCCGTCGCTCCGCGGTGGACCGGGAGCCGGCCGCGTTTTTTCTCCTGCTGGCCGTCGGCCCGTTGCAGTGCCGTGCCCGCGGGAGTGCGGCACGGGGTCCATCTTGGGTGGAACGTCCTTCGGCGGCGAGCGAGGGGGGGGAAGTGAGAAGGAGAAGTAAGGAGCCGAACTCTATACACCGACGCTTTTTCTGGCCCCGCACTGCAATGCGCACAGGAAAGCGGATCCTGGTGTACACAGATCCTGGTGTATACATTTTTGGATGTCTTCCCCCAGGAAATGGGGAAAAAAGGTATACACCACACCACCCCAACGTCGTCCCCGACCCTCAAAGAGTTCTGGGATTGAAAAACAACCCGCCACTGGTAATGTATATGTTCCAGCTTCCGAAGAAGGCCTTCTCAGAAGGCGGCGGGACTTCTCACAAACCCTCGCGCCTTCTGAGAAGTCTTTGTTTTGGTCTTCGGGGAAGGCCTAGAGCACTTCTCGGAAGGCCGGGGAACTTCCGAGCCTTCGGAGGCGGCCTTCTCCTTCTTCCTTCCCCCCCTCGCTCGCCGCCGAGTCCCCGGCGCCTGGCTTGGTGCACGTTCGCATGCGCGCGTGTGGGCCCGGGGATGCTTGAACGGCACGCGCTGGGAGAGCCCAGGAACCGACTTCCAGCAGGTCGGTGCAGGGCCCCACAGAGCCCCCGCAAGCCTCCTACGTGATACTCACCACTGCGTGCGCCTGACGGCACCCAACTGCCCAACTGCGATGTCAAGGCACGGCGGAGGACATGCAAGCTTTCACTTGGAGGAAGAAGACAAGAAAGGGAGACACTGCCAGCGTCCGACAGCCGCCCCGCACGTGCGATCAAGAACGTCTCCTTTGCACAGTTCCTCGCAGGGGGAATCGGGTATCAGACACCCCCTGCGACGAGGCAGCTTACCGAGGCCGGCGCGATCTTTCAAAATTGCCTCCACGAGTGGCGCGAAGCAGATGCGTGACGACAGGCCGGACGTGCAGGCAGTTGTAACGGAGTGGGGCGAGTTTTTTCACACATCGAGAGGCTCGCGTAGGGTGTCGGAGACAACAAGTCGCACCAGGATGGGAACATCACCGCATCAACCTACGCTGTCGCAGTCATGGGGGCGGGCAGTGCGACCAACAAAATGCAACCACAATTCCGAAGAGTCGGGCGGATGAACCCGGTGACGTCGACGACGACAGGAGAAGATCGGAGAGGACTACAAACGGCTCGGCGAAGAGGCGAGGATGAGAGAACTCCTTCCCGCCCTCCTCTTCCCCCCTTCCTCTTCGCAACCTGCTCCCTCATCAACCTCCCCATCCAGCCACTGGGAGGACAACGAAATATCCATACCGCCGCTCCCAAGACCTCTCCCTGGGTGTGTTCCGACCTGTTTTGCGAAGAGAATCAGAAGGGATAGCGGTATGGGCAATTTTACCCCTCCCTTGCACGCCGTGCCCGCGATCCCGGTCGGGCCCTTACCCTCCAAAAACATTGATCATGGAGGGAACGGACATGAGGACCGTGACCAAGACTGGCCACGGAAACGTCGGTGCCGATCTTGGAAATCGTACACCTAGGTCAACCGTCGATTCGCGGACAATCCTCGCGAATCGGCGACGACCATGACCGAGGTCGGCGTCGACAAGATTCCGCGACATCTTGTTCATGTAGAAGAAGAAAAAACGGCATAAACAAGAATGTTTGGCGCTCCGCGCGGATTTCTTGGATCCGCGCTGCACCCTCCTCCCTGGCGCGCGGAGCGCGCCAGGGGCGGCGCGGGAGGCGCCGCTGGGGGGTGCCCAGCGCGGATCCAAGAAATCCGCGCGGAGCGCCGAAAGTTTACGCTTGTGGCGTTTTGTTCTTCTTCGCTCATGGTCCTCATGTCTCATGTGGATCATAGTGCCGATACCGCTGCCCCCCGGACCTCTCCCGGGGTGCGTTCTGACCAGGAGTTCAAAGCGATTCCAGCGGTGCCGACGAGGGCCTCCCAGGAGGCCCACACATAGGAAAACGGGCGAGGGGGTAGAGGTATGGGTACCAATTCCCCCTCCGATGCATCGGAGATGTATCGGCGATGCATCGGTGATGCACCAGCACTGCATCGTCTACGTCGGCGACGCATCGGCGACGTCGACGTGAAGAGATTGGGCCCCACATCGAGCCGCATCGGCGATGCATGGGCGATGCGGCGCGGTCCTCCGACCCCGTCTACTCCGACCCCAACTGGGAGGCCTAGAGGATCGGGGCCCGAGGCGGGCGCATGACGCAAGCAATGCCTAGCAGCCAGCGCTCCCGCCCGCTGAAGGCCGGCAGGGCGGCGGCCGGGTCGTCGACGCAGGCGAGGCCGCTCTGCGGCTGCCCCCCCCCGCCCTGCGCCCGGCGGATGCGCAGTCCCTGGCCGGGGGCGGCCACGAAGGGGGGGCGTCCAAGAGCCCAGGTCCCTTCGCAACATAATGAACACGACGGGAGGTTTGTCGCCCTTTGCGGCCTGGGGGCCCTCACCGGGCCTCGGGGCCGTCAGAAAACGACTCGGGATGAAAAGCCGGTTCATGACGTCGGGGGTCTGGGAGAGGGGGGGGCGCAAATCATGGCTTGTGGCACGTGCGCGGCCCAGGGTGGGGGGCCCGGGACGTCTTGGAACAAGACGAGGCGCCATGAAATCTGGGGATGTATGACAGCCACCCGCCATGAGATCCCCCCCCCTGCCTAGTCATCCCCCCCTTTTTGGCCGCCCCCGACCTGGGGCAGGCCCAGCATGCCCGGCGGGGGCCCGTCCATCCAGCTCCCGAGGCGGTCTTCGCCGCAGGCGTCGTCCTCGCCTCAGAGAGGGGGGGGGGGGGACGTTGTCACTCGAGGGCAGAAAGGGAATCGCTGTGCTGGCCAGCGGCCCCGATGGCCCCGACAGCTTCGAAGGCTGGCTGCCTCTGAAGGATGCAGGGCCTGGAGATGCGCCTGCATGATGCCGGCCCTCGGATTCCCAGGAAACAGAAAGGAACATATGGGAAGCGTGAGGGGGGAAATCAAGAACACATGAGAAAAGATGGGGAATCTAAGGATTTGTGCCAATTTGCTCGTATGTCCCTGGTCCCCTGCTCGACGCCAGAGAAGGCCGCACCCTCGGCAGGTGGGAGGCTGCTCATGAGCTTCTATGTGGCAATGCTCCTGATGCCGCCCTTGGGTGGCGCCATACACTCTTCGAGCAGGCCGGAGAAGCGGAGAAGGAGGAGGAGGAGGGGGAGGAGGAGGAGGAGGGGGAGGGGGAGGAGGACAGGGAGGAGGAAAAACGGAGTGAGGAAAGACGGAGCAGGAGAAACGGAGAGGGATTACGAGGGAAGGATATGCGAGAGGTGCAGGTAGCAATGCCGCAGCGTGACCATGCTGGAGGGAACAAGGGGGACATGTGAGAATAAACGCAGCATACTTGGCGGAATAAGGAGGAGGATGACGAAGAGGAAAGAGGAAGGGAGGAAGGGAGGAAGATAATGAGGAAGGAGGAAATAGGAAAGATGAGGAACAAGGCGGATCAATGGGAGAAATACAGTGAAAGGAACACAGTGCGGAATTATGAGTGTATGAAATATGAGGAAGATGAGGAAGGGAGGACGACAATGTTAAAGGAACAAGGCGGACTTGCAGGAATAAGATAAGGATGGAGCAAGGCAGATCGAAGGAATGAGGAAGCAGACGGGGGATGAAATCATATGAAAGCATAAATAATGCCTATGGTTATGACAATGGTGGCAAGGATGCTCACGATGCTGAACAGAAAACGACTGGCAGAAGGAAGAGAAAGGAGGAACGAGAGATGATAAAGGAAGGAGGACACTGGAGGGAGAGAGATAGGAAGGGAAATGAAAGCATGGCCGGTTCACGCTGGACCCCCCCCCGACCCACAACCCGCCCAGAAGACGGTAGGAAGACCAACCCCGGCCAGAAAGACGAGCCGACGAACACTCAAGCAAATCATGATTGGGGGCGCCAGCTTCCCAGGCTGGCTCTACACGGTCCAGTTGGTGGGTGCACCCTGTCGATCAGACCTTCCCCGGCTCCTTCTTCTCCTCCTCCTTTTCCTGACGCTGGCCCTGGCGTTCCTAATCCTCCTCCGCCTCTGATCCTCTGATCCTACGAAAGAAGAGCCCAGCCGAGCCGAACTCCCCAGCCAGCTTGCGAGCAGGGCCTACCCTGAAACAGAACGCTCTGCCTCCTCTGCTGCGGGGCCCGACCAGTTTCCGCCGTCGCCGTGCCTTTCGTTGGACCCAGGGCCAACCGCAGCGCGAGAAAGCGGGAAAGGGAGCCCCCCCAGAACGGTTGGACCGGGGCTCCCGTCCAGACGACATCCTCCCCGGGGCCAGTCGTGCCAGACGGGCCGACGAGCGTGGTCGAGAAGAGAAGGCCTGGCAGGCTCGGCTGAGCCCATGCCCCTGACGGCGCGCATAGGCACCGCAGCTCTCACAGGAGACGATCGCCTTTCGGAACCCCCGCGCCCCGATCCCCACGCACGGCCCGCAGCTTGTGGGAGGGATGGGCGATCGCAGCAGGCCGAGGCATTCCAGGGCAGGGAGGGCAGACGATTCTGGATCGGAGCCCCCTTCGAACCCCACACAGACTACATCCCCAGGCCCGTCCAAACATACAAACCGAGTGCCAGCTCTCGCCTGAAACGAGGGAGGGCCGAGGGCGGGGAAGGGGGCTCCGATCTGGCCACCCCTCGGCGGCCACTCTTCTCAAGACGGCGCCATGTGGAACCCCCACCCTCACTGCGGCTCCTGTGGCCTCCACGAGCTGGGCCGCCCTCACCTCCACCAAATTGGAGCTCGCGTGGAGCTTGGCGCCCTCCTTCGCCCTGGCGTCGGCGAGCCTGTTGCCTCCATGCCAGTGCCAGGGCTTCCCTTCGGCCTCCGCCGCTGCCCAGCTGGTGCGGGCACGAGTCCAGCGGAGGCTGACTGCCTCGTGGCCCAGGCCCCTGACGTGGGCCCAGACCTCCTTCCGCAGGTTCGCGTAGGTCGAGCCAGCGGCAACACGCCATTCCTCGCCTTTCTCGTAGTCCTCCACCAACCTCAGGCAACCGGCGACCACGTCCACCTGCGGGCCCTTCTCCTGCGGCAGCCTCAGCAGTGCGTAGAGCTCCGCGCAACCGCTCTCCTGCACACGGCCTGGGACACTGCCGTACATGCCTCCTCCCTGCGTCCCGTCAGCGTCCATGAGGATGACGGCCGAGCCACTCCTCTTGAGCTCCCTCCACTCTGGGAAGAACGCCGAGCCGTCGATGCAGGCAGTTCCGCTGTCCCCCTCCCAGCGCAGCGAGCCTCCTCGTCGGCACTCCTCTTGCTGGGCGGGTCGAGGGAGCTCCTCCAGCCCTAGATTGGCCAAGCACCTGACCATGCCGACGGCTTCGCCCTCCGCAGCCGCGCCAGCTCGCCTGACCTCGCTGAGGTCGAGACTCCGCCTCCTCCATCTCCTCCTCCTCCATCTCCTCCTCCTCCTCCTCCTCCTCCTCCTCCTCCTCCTCCTCCTCGTTGTCACCGAGGCGCAAGATGGCTAACCTGGGGGGTTGTCAGCCCCAGAGCTGTCAGGGATATCGGATCTCTCTGGTCCGAGGCTGGCTATCAGTCGGGCGTCGGGCGCGCGCGCGCGCGCTGCCGAATCGCCATGGCGCGAGGAAGCGCTGGGGCGAGCAACGGCTGGCGGGGTTGGCCGAAACATCAGAGGAGCGCCAGCCGTCCTCCTCGCAGCAGCTGCGTGGTGTGTGGCCGCGGGCGGTGGAAGCCCTGCCGCTCAGCCAGCAGCGAGGAGGACGAGTGCCGCTGCGGAGCCAGGCTGGCCGCCTTGGTCCCTCCCTGGCGCCACTACAAAAGAAGGACAGCGGGCACAAAGACGGACGCGACACTCCCAAGTCAGTCGAGTGGGCAAACAGCTGGACAGGAGGTGGAAGCAGCCCGCTCATGAACGACGTGGGCCTGGTGGAGCTCGCGGCCAAGAAGTACGCAGCCCTGGGCAGGGATGGCCCACAAAGAACAAGCTCCGAGGAAATATGGCCCACACTGGAGGCAGCTCAGCCACCTGGTGCTGCTGATGGTGCTGCTGATGGCCGATGATCATGATGGGATGGTGATAGTGACGAGGCTAACTGGTATAGTTGTTGCATTGTCGTGACGATGGTGATAGCGATGATGATGGTAATCGAGCTGGTAATGGATGTGGAGGGAGGAGAGGGGTAGAGGGTGTGCGATTATGATGCGCGGGTGCACAGAGAAAGCACGAGCACAACTTAAGATGTGGGGAAAACAGAAATTACCGCATCGCCCGACCACATCCAAGCAAGGTCGACTAGTCCCCCCCGGATGCTCTAGACGAGGGGCAGCTGCTGGAACGCACTTCAATGCCCGAATACCTTCAGGAGCCCCCCACAAGCATCCAAACCTTCCAAGGCATCACAGGAGGGAAGAGGAAAGATGAGGGCTGGATGGCCGCCGCAGCGGCCGTCCATTCCTTCTGCTTCTGGAGGTCCTGGAGGTCTGCGGAAGCCCTCTGCAGAAGCCTACAAGGGTCCCAGCGCCTTCAGGCCTTCGGAGGAGCAGAATTGGTTGAGAACGTCAAAAAAATTCGACCCTCGAACCTCGAAGGTCGACGACGAGAACGAGACGGGGGAGGAGGACAGCCAGGACTGGCGGCGCGCAGAAGGGGATGGCGCGAGGGGAGCAGCCTTCTAAGATCTGAGAAGCCAAGAAGCTTCTGCGATGCCCTCCTGCCTTCCAGAGTCTCCTTAAAATCGTCCGACCCTTTCTGGTAAGACCCCGGCCTTCAAAGATCCCACCTCGCCCCATCAAAAACTATCCTGGCGAAAGGCTCAACCAAATGCAGTTGTGAGCACCGCCGGCGTGAGAACCGAAATCGGTGGAGCTCCCGACGGGGCTGCGAAATGCGTGAAGAGAGGTGAGAGGTGCGCCAAAGAGAGGGGGGGTAGCGGCATGCGGGCGCAGCCTTCGGTGGAGCTCCTGGTGGGGCCACGATACGTGTGAGGGGTGCGCCAATATGGGGGGGCGGCATGCGGTCGCAGCCATTGGGGCCTTAAGTGGAGCTCCTGGTGGGGCCACGGAACGTGCGAGGGGTGTGCCAAAGAAGGGGGTGGCGGCATGCGAGCGCAGCCACTGGGGCCTTTGGTGGGGCTCCCTATGGGACCACGAAACGTGTGAGGATGATGTGCCAAAATGAAGGGATGGCGGCATGCGGGCGCAGCCACTGGGGCCTTAGATAGAGCTGCCTATGGGGCCACGAAGCGTGTGAGGAGTGTACCAAAATAAAAAGGTGGAACTGCATGCGGGCGCAGCCACTGGGGCCTTCGGTGGGGCTCTCTATGGTGCCACGAAGCACCTGAGTGGTGTGCCAAAATGAGGGGGTGGCGGGCGCAATCACTGTGGCTTTCGGTGGAGCTCTCTATGGGGCCACGAAGCGTGTGACGGGTGTGCCAAAATGAGGGGGTGGCGGCGTGCGGGCCCAGCCACTGGGGCCTTCGGTGGAGCTCTCGGTGGGACCACGAAACGTGTGGAGAGTACGTCTTACGGTGAATTAAGTCACCAGCGCAGTGTCGATAGCGTAGTGTCAACAGCGTAGTGTCAACAACGAAGTGTCGAGAGCGTAGTGTCAACAGCGTAGTGTCAACAGCGTAGTGTCAACAGCGGAGCGTCAACAGCGTAGTGTCGACAGTGTAGTGTCAACAGCGCAGTGTCAACAGCGTAGTGCCAATCAACGGCGCAGCAACAGCGTAGTGTCAACAGCGTAGTGTCAACTAACGGCGTAGCAACAGCGTAGTGTCAACAGCGTAGTGTCAACAGCGTAGTGTCAACCAACGGCGTAGCAACAGCATAATGTCAACAGCGTAGTGCCAACAGCGTGGTGTCAACACTGTACTGTCAACACACATCGTGCTGTCGACAGCGTATGGTTGGCTGCGCGAACAAGCGGCATGGCGTGAAACCTGAGCGCACCGTCGACCACCACCGCAATGTCAGCACCGTAATGTCAACAGCGTAGGCGTCGTGTCAACAGCGCAGTGTCAAAAGCATGAAGCAACAGCGTAGCAGAAAACAAACGTTCTAGCGTCGACCAACAACGTAATCTCAACAGCGTAGCGTCAACAGCGTCATGTCAACATAATACCGTTGTAGTGTCAACAGCGTAGTGTCAACAGCCCAGTGTCAACCAGCGGCGTAGCAACAGCGCAATGTCAACGGCGTAGTGTCCACAGCGTAGTGTCAGCAGCGTAGAGTTGACAGTTCAATGTCAACAGCGTAGTGTCAGCAGCGTAGTGTCAGCAGCGTAGTGTCAACAGAGTCGTGTCTACAACGCCGTATCTACAACGTAGTGTCGACAGCGTAGTGTTAACCGCGTAGTGTTAACCGCGTAGTGTTAACCGCGTAGTGTCAGCAGCATGAAGCAGAACCTTATCAGGAAGTAGTGGCGTAGCGTCGACTCACATCGTAGTGTCAACAGCGCAGCGTCAACCGCGTAGCGTCGTAGTGTCAACAACGTAGTGTCAACAGCGTAGTGTCAACCAACGGCGTAGCAACAGCGCAGTGTCAACAGCGTAGTGTCAACAGCGTAGTGTCAACAGCGTAGTGTTATCAGCGAAGTGTTGACAGCTTAATGTGAACAACTTAGTGCCAAAAGCGCAGTGTCCACAGCGTAGCGTAAACAGCGTAGTGGCTACAACGTAGTGTCAACAGCGTAGTGTTGACAGCGTATTGTCAACAGCGTAGTGTTAATGTCAACAACTGAGTGTCAACAACGTAGTGTCAACAGCGTAGTGACGATAGCGTAGTGTCGATAGCGTAGTGTCGATAGCGTAGTATCAACAGCGTAGTGTCAACAACGTAATGTCGAGAGCGTAGTGTCAACAGCGTAGTGTCAACAGCGTAGCGTAAACAGCGTAGTGTCAACAGCGTAGTGTCAACAGCGTAATGTCAACAGCGCAGTGTCAACGGCGTAGTGTCAGCAGCATGAACCAACAACTTAACAAGAACTAGCAGAACCGCGTCGACCAACCGCGTACATAGTGTCAACAGCGTAGCGTCAACAACGACATGTCAACAGCGTAGCGTCGGAATGTCAATCGCGTAGTGTCAACGTCGACGTCTCAACCAACGGCGTAGCAACAGCGCGCCGTCAACAACGTAGTGTCAACAGCGTAGTGTCAACAGCGTAGTGTTTACAGCTTGATGTCAACAACGTTGTGTCAACAGCCTAGTGTCTACAGCGTGACATCAGCAGCGTAGCGACAACAACGTAGTGTCAACAGCGTAGTGTCAGCAACGTAGTGTCAACAGCGTAGTGTCACAAGCATGAACAAACACCGTAACAGGAAATAATAACGTAGCGCCGACCAACAGCGTAATGTCAGCAGCGTAGCGTCAACAACGCATGGAGAACAACGTACTTTAAACAGCGTGGTGTCAACAACGTCGTGTCAACAGCGTAATGTCAACAGCTGAGTGTCCACAACGCAATGTCGACAACGTAGTGTCAACCAACAACGTACTGTGGACCGCGTATTTTCAGCCGTGAGCCAAGGACATCACGAGACATCGCAGGGCACCGTCGAACAACAGCGTAGTGCCAACAGCGTCGCGTCGATAGCGTAGTGTCAACAGCGTAGTGTCAACAGCGTAGTGCCAACAGTGTAATGTCAACAACGTAGTGCCAACATCGTGAACCAACAGCGTATCGGAAACTGAGATCGTAGCGTCGACAACAACGTATTCTCAACAACGCAGTCGTAACATGAACCAACAGCACAACGGATTGCCTCTGTTCCCGGGGCTGCCAGTTCATGGGCTCCACGAGAACTGTTCAACTGCGCAACTGGGGTCTCGGGTACAACTCCGCATGGGGCCGCATAGCGCGTCAGGCGTGTACCGAAATAGACGGGGCGGCCGCATGTGAATTGCAGCCCTGGATGGAGCTCCCTGCGGACCCACGAAACGTGTGAGGGGTGTCGCTCAAATGCGTTGCATTTGTTTTGGAGGGTCCCACGCCCCAAAACGGCTTCAAGGGCAACGCACATCGCCCCGAATCGGCTTAGTTACAAAGCCCCCCCCGCCCCCGAAAAAAACGCGGAGAGAGCCCAAGACCTCCCAAGCAGGACCAAAAGGCCTACAATAGCGTCCAGCTTGACCAAGAGGGTACAAATAGCGTGCAGCGTCTGCTCTTAATGCCAACAGGGCTTCTACATGCCAGCAACGTATTGTCAACAGCGAAGTGTCAGAGATTCAAGAGCGCAGGGCCTCTCCTCTTGACGCCAACTGCCGACAACGTAGTGCCAACAACGTAATGGAAGCGCAGTGTCGCAGATTAGAAACGTACAGTCCGTCCTCTTAATGCGAACAACGTATAGTCAACAGCGTCTTGTCGCAGGTTAGAAACGTACTGTCTCTCTCCTCTTAATACGAACAACGTAGAGTCAACAGTGTGGGGCCGCAAGTTAGAAGCGTACAGACCCTCCTCTTATCCCAACAACGCAGTGTCAACAGCGCAGTCTCGCAGACTAGAAGCGTACAGTCTCTCCCCTTGATGCGAACAACGTAGTGTCAACAGCGTAGTCTCGCATATTAGAAGCGTACTGTTTCTCCTCTTAATGCCAACAACGCACTGTCAACAGCGCAGTCTCGCATATTAGAAACGTACAGTGTGTCCTCTTCATGCGAACACCTTAGTGTCAACAGCGGAATGTCGCAGATTAGAAGCGTACAGCCTCTCCTCTTAATACGAACAACGTAGCGTCAACAGCGTTGTCTCGCAGATTAAGAGCGTACTGCTCTCCTTTTAATGCGAACAACGTAATGCCAACAGGGTAGCCTCGCAGATTAGATGCGTACAGTCTCTCCTCTTAATGCGAACAATGTAGCGTCAACAGCGTAGCGTCGCATATTAGAAGAGTACTGTCTCTCCTCTCTATGCGAACATCGTAGTGTCAACAGCGTAGTCTTAATTCGCCCTGCGTCACGTAGTGTCAACACCGTAGTGTTAATTCACTGTTTGAACTTTTACTTCACTGTCAGGAAATCCTTTGAAACGTGCGAGTGGTGTGCATGGGGTGGCGGCATGCGGGCGCAACCACTGGGGCCTTCGGTGGAGATCCCGGTGGGGCCACGAAACGTGTCAGGGGTGTGCCGACATAGGAGGGTGGCGGCATGCGGGCGCAGCCACTGGGGCCTTAGGTGTAGCTCCCTATGGGGGCACGACGCGTGTGAGAGGTGTGCCAAAGTGGGGGGAGTGACGGGAGGAGGAGGCGGAGGAGAAGGAGAGGAGGAGGAGGAGGAAGAGGAGGAGACGCGGAGGCTGTCCCTTCAAAGCGAGGACTGAACACCACAGGATGGTCGGGGGGACAGCCCCACATCGATTTCCAGAGCTCTCCCGGGGCCCATCCAGGCCACCTCTCCGAGCCGCGCCCAGCCGCGGTGGCTGGAGGCCCAGCGCCGACCCAGGCCACCTGCGCGGCCCTCCGAACATTGATGCGCACGTTCTTCGAGCGGCGTGGGGTGCGATTCTGACTGCCGCCAGCTTCCGCCTGCGGAGGCGCCCCCCGTTGTACTTCCGCTGGCTTCCGCCGGCCTTCCACCGCCTCCCGTCGAAGAAGCGATGGCAGCCCCAGACCCCAGGCATCCGGCGTATCGATTCTCCTTGACGTGCGGGCCCCCGACCCCTCGACCACTTCCCCGCGACTGGCTTCGCATCCCGACTTGTTTTTGGACGGTCCCGGTTCCCGGTAAGGGCCGCTGGAGGCAAGAGTGGATGAACAACCGGAAGCTCCATGCTTGCGAAAGGCCAAATGCCGGGGGAATTCCTTCTGTCCTCCGACGCGAGGCTCTTTTTCGAGCGCCCCGTGTGGCCAGGCTGGTTGCCGATGCGGCCGTCCTCGCCCTCCCCGTCGTCCGCGCCGTCGCCCGCAAGGCGCCGGCCAGCCGCCATCTCTCCGCGCCGGCCGGCAGCGCGAGCGCGGAGGCGTCGGCGGGGCTTGTGGCGCGCGGTCCCCGAATCGGGCCGGAATCGGCGCGTGTCCCCTCGGGGGCGGTCAAGAGGGGGGCGTCCATGAGGGGGGGGTGCAAATCATGTTCGGTAGCATGTGCGCGGCCCAGAGGGGGGAGGCCGGGGACGTAATGAAATAAGAAGAGGCGCCATGAAATCTGAGAAAATATCATGGCCCACGCTGTGATATCCACCGCCCCCTAGTCATCATCCCCCTCTTGACCGCCCCCGATCCCCTCCGACTAAGACGACAGTCGGACAGGAATAGATCGCGGATCTCTGAGATCCGGCGGCGCTGGGAGCCGCATCGGGCGCCACGGTCTTCGCAGAGCGTCCCGGAACGCCTTGAGAGCATTCCGGGGCGCTCGCTACACCCCCGACCAGGCTCTCTGAGATAAGGCGGCGCTGGAGGGCGTATCGGGCGCCGCGGCCTTCGCAGGGCGTCCTGGAACGCCCTGCAAATGCGCTCTGGGACGCTCTGAGCCCCCGGCCAACGCCGACTGGCGAATCCCGGATATGAGGAGCGTCAGCCGACGTCCATGCTTTCGCTTCCCGGCTGCTTGACCCAACGCGCAACGACTTCGAAGGTGGGACGCGCCCAGGTCAAGGTCAAGCCTTTTGCTGGCGGACGGTCAGGGCGTGGCTGGCGCGTGCAACAACAAAAATGCTGTCCGTCGGCGGCGAGGCAGAGGCGGTCCGCTCCAGCGTGAGGCAGTGCGGGTCAACCGCTTGGCTGATTAGCCGGCATGCAAGAGAGAGAGAGAGACTACCACAGACGCACAGCAAACGAAGGCGGGGGCCAGTGCGCGGGAAAGACGGTGACATGCAGGCGCATGCGAGTGGCCCCCGGCGACGCCACCGGCCGCGGCTCGCTCGAGTGCGTGCCATGGCAGGGGAAGCGAGAGCAGCAAAAAAAGCCGAGTCCCACATGAGCACCCGCGCTTTTTGCAGGCAGGCGGGAGGAGAGATGAGGGAGGGGGACGAATCGTCTCGTGCCTCGTCTACGCCTCGGTCCTGCTCTCTGTCCCTCCATCCTCGTCTCTCCGTCTCGCCGTGTCCCACCGTCTGGCCGCCTGACGGTGTCACCAGCGCCTCTGCCCCTGCCTCTGGACTTACCGACGCAATCCACTCTCAGTCTCTCGTGCTGCCTTGTTCACTCTCTCTCTCGCACTGTTCGCCATACCTCGCTCGAAATCTGCATCGCAAGTGAGCTCCACCTTTGTGCGTAGTCGACCTATTGACGCTACGGGCCCTCCCAGCATGGATATAGAACAAGCAAACAACAACTCCTGAGATTCCGTCAGCTCTTCCATCAGGCTCTTCTCCTGTCAGCGGGCGATGGGCGAGAATGCTCATAATATTTCGTAGACGCACGAGTGGCACATGTGCGCCCAGGCTCATACAGAGACGGCAAGGAACTGTAATCGATAACGTTGGGGCGATGTTCCAAACATGAGACAATCGCCACAAAGAGCGCACATTCATTCAGTTACCCACGTGTTCGGGAATACTTACACACCAATGTGGCAATCAATGTGTCAAGCAATTTTGTTGAACAAGCATGCCGAGGGAATCAATTTTCGAGCGCCCTCCCTTTTTCAATGAAACTATCTCGCTCTTCGCTCCTGGAAAGAATGTCCCGCCCCTGGACCCCTCAGCGCGGGATCCCACCAAGCTCCGAATAGGATTCCAACATCCACACTGGACTAGTATAGGATTCAAAGAGGATCCAACCTGTTACTCCTCTTACTCCCTCACTCCCAGCGACCCCCCCCCCGCCTCCTCGACTGTCTTACTCCTCTTACTCCCTCTGCCCCCACCCCCTCTGAAATATTGGAATCATGAACTTGTCGCGGTGCTAACGAGATGGCTCGGAGGTTCCCCCCCTTGGGAATCAATTGAATGCTTCGAGTGTTACGGGTAACGCCCGGAGGCTGGACGAATGCTTCCCAAGGTCAGACCACTTGGATTCACATGGGCCTTGAATAATTAAGTGGGCCATAACTGAAAATTTGCATGTCCTAACGTGAAGCGAAGTCATGCCGAAAACAGACACGTGAATTCATTGAACGCAGCGGTTGTCGGATGAGTGCGCGCGAATCCTTTGCACATCAATGCGTTTCCTTTCGCCTGGAACAAGCATGCTGAACAACCACTGGGCAATTGGATTATGACGCCCCAAACTGCATGAGAGGGCAACCGGTTTGCTTGAATTTAACAAAATCACTCACGCGAAATTGCCAAACCAATATTCCTGGCGGCATCATTGCTCGGCTCTGAGATCTACTCCCGCAGAAGAGGTCTGTCTGATAGTGTTCATGTATGTGAGTTGCAGTCAACGGTACATGGCAAACATTTGCACATTGATGTGGCGTGTGTGTATGTATATGTGTTGGTCACTCAAAGAGGCTAACCACTGGGACATGTAACTCCGCACCGAAAGCCAGTCCACCCCCCTCCCCCCACGTTGCCCTTATACGGTATCGAGTCCTCCCATGGATGCCCATGGTGTTTTCGAAGTGTTCCGACGTTTTTTTCTATGGGACCCCCAATGCAGTCCAATAGCCATTCCACGGGAATCCACTGGGTTGAATTGATTCCTGTCGGTTGCAACGTCGCTCAATTGAGTCATATCGGAGCCAACGAATTCAAATGGAATCCTATGCCGACCAATGGGGTCCAATGGAGAGCCACGGAGTCCAATTGTGTTCATCGGGTCCAACGAGGTCCAATGGAGTCCAAATTGAGCTCAATGCAGTCGCAGGCTGCTCGAATGGATTCCAATGGAGATCAGTTTACCATGAAGTCCTACGGGGTCAAATGGAGTCGCCGATCGTCCAATGAGACGTCCTCTGGAACACAACGGACTCGTGCGTAGTCCTGCGGAGCTCATGGAGCCCAACGGAATCGTACGGGTGTCAATTAAGTCCCATGGAGCGGTGTTGGTGAGATAATGGAACCCAATGGAACCCCACGGAGTCCTCTGGAATCCAATGGAGGCCGTTGCATTCCAATGGTGTCCAATGGAGTCCTTTGGAGCCGAAAGGAACCACATGTAATCCAATGGAGTCCAATGTTGCCAAGGGGGGCCCCTTGAGCCCGACAGAGTCCAATGAGGTCGCCTGGAGTCGCACGTGCTTCTGCTCGAGGAAGAGGAAGCGGACAGCACCACGACAAAGCACCTTTCATGACGGAATGGGGCGTGGCTGAGCCTCTGGACACCTGGAGGCGCATGTGTATCCGAATGGAGACCAAAGGAGTTCAATGGGACCCTTGGGAGTTGTCTACGTATTCGAATGGGGCCGAATAGGGTCGTATGGGTGTTCCCGTCGTATGGGGTATGGGTGCCCCAATGGGGTCAAGTGAAGTTCAATAGAGCCCAAAATAACCGAATAAAATCTAGTGGGGTGCAATGGTGTCCTACGAAGTCCACCAGAACTCCATGGAGACCAACGAAATCCAACTCAACCAATTGGAGTTTAATGGCGACCAATGGGCCCCAACGAAATCCAACAGGGTCCTTGAAATCAATGCGGCTGCTCTTCATCTGGATACACCACCGATGTGGGATGCCTGGAAATATGCCAAGCCCTGCCCCTGCAAATCTCGGCTTGTGCCTCCCGGTCTCTCTGGCCCACGGCGTGCGCCTGAGCTCAACACATTGCCCCGGCGTCGCATCCACCGGGTGCTGCCCACCTGCGAACATTACGACGCTGCTGTGGAGCACGCGACTGACATTAACGACGGTGCGAGGAGCAGCTGAATACAGCATCCTAAACATGGGAAGTGGCAAGACACTGCGCCATCATCACTGCCATCACCATCATCGCGTTCCAGACTGCAGGCTGGCGTGACAAGGGCTGCGCTGGGCATGTCCTGCGCCAAGGCCTCGCCAATCTCGGCACGAAGTGCCTGAGGATACACATGACAGCACAGCGCTCCGAGATTGAGGGGCAGCGAAGCGGATCGAGGAGACGCAAGGAAACGACGGTCTTAAATTGTCGATCTGCGTGTCTGAAATGGAGTCCACCTCGCCTCCGCCCAAGGTGAAGACCGTCTGAAATAGCGAACGCACTCCCTCCCTATCGTCCCCCCACCCCGGGTGAATACCGTCCTTAGGCCTCACCCGTGAGGACCGCCAATAGGCCTCACACCCCGCGCAGCTTCCATCATCGGGGCTGCGTGGGTTCCCCCCCACACCTACTCATGACGGCGTCAACATAGCCACAGGAGGGGGCCGAGGACTCCTCTAGGGACCCTCGGCCAACGAAGACGTCCCTAGAGCAGGGCCCAACGTACTTCTGCACCTTTTACACTTTCCATCATAGCGTCAATTGCCCCTCGCGCGGTTCTCCTCCCTTCCTCCCCCCCCGGGGCCATGACGGACTCACGGGCACTGGGACGCTCGTCGTGGTGCACTTCGGCCCTGGTCACTGGACTGGCGCCAGTGGATGACGGCTTGCCTCTCCGGTGGGACCTGCGCCACCCCCTCCTCGGCGACCTGCACTGGTTCGCTCACCCTCCAGTGCACGGGTTCTCGCAGCCTGCGGCAACCTGCACACTCTTCGTGGTAGAGGCTCTCCACGCCGGAGGCCTCCCCCCCCCGTTTCCCCCCCCCCTCCGCGGCCGCCCTCCTCTTCTCCACTTGTCTGCGTGCCTCTGCCCGACGCGGCCCGCGGGCTCACCGAGCGCCTTGGCGTCCGCCTTCCGCCGCGGACCAGAACAGTCTGCCGTGGAGTGCCGCGTTGCGGACTACCGCTGTGGAGTCGTGCTTGTCGTCGCCCCACCCGCCACCAACAACTCGAGACCCACCTGGCGACCCACCTGCGACGCGATCCACCCGCGACCCCCTTGCGACCAACCCCGCGACACGCCTGCGGCCCGCCTGCGGCCCACCCGCCGCGACTCGCCCACCCTGGCGACCCATCCCTGGCGACCCACCC